TAGTAGTGGTACTCGTAGCAGTAGTATCATCATTATTCTTTGTAGTGTTACTATTGATATTAGCATTCGTCTTCTTCTCCGTATTAGTATTCGTAGTAATATTTGGTCAGCAGTATTACTCATCGTATGATTACTTGTACGTTTAGTATTAATAGTGTTGTTCGTCTTCATCTTGCTACTAGTATTCTTATTAATAGTAGTATTACCCGTCGTCTCATCATTACTAGTTGTCATCCTCATCCTCATCATCATCATCATCCTCAGCACCAGCATCATCCTCATCATCATCCTCAGCATCATCATCATCATCATCATCATCAGCATCATCATCATCATCATCAGCATCAGCATCATCATCATCATCATCATCATCATCATCATCATCATCATCATCAGCATCATCATCATCAGCATCGTCATCATCATCATCATCAACAACAATATCATCATCATCATCATCATCATCATCATCAGCATCAGCATCATCATCATCATCATCATCAGCAGCAGCAACATCATCATCCCCTCCCCCTCCCCCTCTCTGGAGGCGGGCAGCCGGCGGAGGCACGGCGGCCCCATGCTGGGCGGCGCGGCGTACTGCGTAGGCTCCTGCCGAGGTGCCCGAGGTACGAGGAGGCGAAGGGGCGGAGGGGCGAAGAGGACGAGGACGAGGACGAGGAGGAGGCGGCGGAGGAGGAGGAGGAGCAGGAGCAGGGGGAGGAGGAGGAGGAGCAGGGGGAGGAGGAGGAGGAGGAGGAGGAGGAGGAGGAGGAGGAGGAGGAGGAGGAGGAGGTGGGAGGAGGAGGAGGTAGGGGAGGAGGACGAGGAGCAGGAGCAGGGGGAGGAGGAGAAGCAGGAGCAGGGGTGAGGAGGAGGAGGAGGAGGGAGGAGGAGGAGGAGGAGAGAAGGGGAGGGAGGTAGGGAGAAGGAGGAAGGAGGAGGAGGCAGGAGGAGGACGACGGAGCAGGAGCAGGGGGAGAAGGAGCAGGAGGCAGGGGGAGACGGAGGAGGTAGGAGGGAGGCGCAGGCAGGAGGAAGGGCAGGAGGGAGGAGGAGGAGGAGAGAGGGGCGAAGAGAGGGGGGGCGGGGAGAGAAGGGCGAGGACGAGGGGAGAGGGAAGGAGGAGAGGGGGGCGAAGGGCGCAGGGCGGGGGGCGAGGGGCGAGGGGCAAGCTGGGTGCGCTCGCGCCACTTCTGACATCCTACCCCTCCCACGCATCCCTTCCCATTGCGCTAATGCTCATCTACCGGCGGACGCGTGTCATGGCGGAACTGGAACTCCCAACAAGACACCATCGTGTTCTACGCAGTCGGGAAAAAGAAAAGCTGCGCACGTGGGCGGAGGGGGGAGGAGGAAGAGGAGGAGGAGGTGGAGGAGGAGGAGGCTTCGTTCATCGCGTAGAGCTACTGCAGCCCAGAAAGTCTAGATCCAAGAATTCGTCCAACAATTGATAGGCGTCTGAATGTCCTCTTGGCGCACTCTTGTAACACCTTCTGAAGGAAGGGCATTCGGGGAGCATGGAATAAGAAAGCCTGGATTTGGAGAAAGAAGACGAATGCGCAGGACTAGGTGTAAGGATATTCCAACAAAGGGCAAAGAAAAAAGAATGCGGAGTGAACGGAACGGGTAACAATCCTGAGGAATAGGAAGCAGAGTATCGAAGTCAACTATGGCGAGTCACCGCGACCATCCTGCCTCTGGAAGGAGCTCAGGTGGCTAAATGTTGCAGAAACGAACGCACGTGGCCGTTATCGATGGAAAATTCATTCGAGTGCGGTTGGGTTTCGACGGCCCGCTTGGGCCGTCTTGGGGGTGTCTTGGGGGCTCTTATTGAACGCACGCTGGGCCTTCTCGGGGGCGTTCTGGTAATATGTTAAGACGTTTGGGGCCGTCTTGGGGCCGCTATGGGTCCCCTCGAGGCCGTCTTGGGGGCCTCTTGGGTGTCCTCCTAGAGCCCGCTTGGCGCTCACTTGTGCCGCCCCTGAACCCTTTTGGGCCCCTCTCGGGAATGCTGGGGACCCTCACAAGGCCATGTGGGAGCATTTGGAAACGCCAGGAACGCTCGTACGACCGAAAACGCAACAGCCTGAGAATCTGCGAAAACAGCGTGAAATCAATTATGTTGACCTCTCGGGGGCTATCCGGGACCGCCTTCGGAGCGGATCGGAACCTTCGGGGTGCACGGTTTCCCCCCGGGCCGTAGGCGACCCGCGGAGGAGGAGGAGGAGGAGGAGGAGGAGGAGGACGACGACGAGGAGGAGGAGGAGGAGGAGGAGGGTGGAGAAGGGGGAGGGGGAGGAGGACAAGCTAGGTGCGCTCGCGTCATATCTGACATCCTACCCCACCCACCCAACCCTTACCATGGCGCAGATCCCTCTCTACTCGATGAGTCGGATGTCGAGCAGGGCAATGATCCGAAAGGGGTACGCGATGCATTTGTAGAGCACGGCATGGCAGGCGTAGAAGAGCACGCAAAGCGTAGTATCACCTAGTATTGCATTGCATGCCGTGGCATGGCACGGGAAATGACGCCAGCGCTGCAGCGGGAGCACGAGTCGAAACGAGCGGAAGCGAGGAAATGAGGCCAGCGCTGCAGCGGGAGCACGATTCGGAACGAGCGGAAGCACGGAAATGAGGCCAGCGCTGCAGCGGAAGCACGATTCGGAACGAGCGGGGCCCGAAAATGAGGCCGGCGCCTCAGCGAGAGCAGCATTTTGAAAAAAATGCAGGCGAAAACCCAACTCCGGGGAAACCTGTGTGTAAAAAACAATACGCGGGGGGGGGGTCGGCCACTTTCAAACCGTCATCAGGGGAAGAGGGAGAGTAGTATTCATATTGAGTAATTGTAGATGGAGGAGGAGGAGGAGGAGAAGAGGAGGAGGAGGAGGAGGAGGAGGAGGAGGAGGAGAAGGAGGAGGAGGAGTGGGAGGAGGAGGAGGAGGAGGACGAGGAGGAGGAGGAGGAGGAGGAGGAGGGGTCGCCCTTCGGAGAAACCCTCCAATTCGGGGCAATCTTGAATTTTTGTGAGGCCATGTTTCGGTCCTCTCGGGCCGCCACCCTGGCATCTTGGGCTGCCTGGGAACGACCTCTGGGCCGCCAGGGGGTGCGATAGTACAGTCAGGATCCTGGCCCCTGGCCCTGGAGCCTCCACTCAGCACACGTAGAGTAACAGTTGTGAAACGGGAGGGGGGGGGAGGAGGGCGAGGGCGAGGGTAAAGGAGGTCCCCCTCATCCTCTCTCCCTCCATCCACGCAGCCATCCTCCCTCCTCACCCCGAGGGACAGGGCGAGGGCGCATGAAAACCAGGAAATGAGGCCACCGCTGCAGCGGGAGCACGATTCGGAACGAGCGGAAGCGCGGAAATGAGGCCAGCGCTGCAGCGGGAGTACGACTCGGAACAAGCGGAAGGCCGAAAATGAGGCCAGCGCTTCAGCGGGAGCAACATTTTGGAAGAAAAAATAAAAACGCAAATCCAATTCCCTGGAACCCTGCACGTAAAAAAAGAGTACGCGGAGGGGGCCGAAGATCTTCCGGGCCTCATCAGGGGAGAGAGGAGAGTAGTATTCATATTGTGTAATTGTGGAAGGGACTGGGAAAGGGGGGGAGGGGAAAGAGGAGGGGGTGCGATATTACAGTCAGGAGCCTGGCACGAGGCCCTAGAACCTCCAATAAGCACGTGTAAAGTAACAGTTGTAGAACGGGAGGGGAGGGGGGGGGGGAGGGGGGCGAGGACGAGGGTGAAAGAGGTCCCCCTCATCCTCTCCCCCTCCATACACACAGCCATCCTCCCTCCTCACCCCGAGGGACAGGGCGAGGGCGGAGGCGGGAGAAGGGACGGGGCACGGAGGGAGGAGGCAGTGGGGGACGAAGAAGAGAAGAGGCAGAGGAGAGGAGGGAGGAGCGAGGGGGGAGGAGGAGGGGGAGGTTGTTTTTGTTTGGAGGCGGGATGTATCATCATATTATAAAAGAGAGGAAGAAGCAAAAAGAAAAAGACACAAAAAGGTAAACATAAATAAAAGGGGGGAAGGGGGGGGAGGGGAAAGAGAGGAGGGGGTGGAGGGAGGGGGGCGGGGGGCATTTCTGGGGGCGCCCCCTGACTATCCACACCATCCGCCACTGGCCCGGCCTGCCCTGGCCCCCGGGGTCGGCCTGGCAAGCGTCTGTTTAGAGGGGCCCTTGGACACACAAATAACTATACAAAAAATCACCGGGTTCTCCGTATTTTTCCATACTTTGGGGATTGTCGTCCGCCCCCCCCCACCACCACTTCCCATATTTTCCTATTTTTTCTGGGCAATCGACGACTCGTTGTCTCTGTGTGTGTTTTTCCCTCCTGACTGCTGACGATCGATGTGCAGCCGGCGCCCCCGGGAACGGGCATTACCCACGCGATGGAGTTGGTCTTTACGCAGAGATCCGTGTAGGGGAAGTACGCGTACTCCTCGGGCAGACGGCGCCGCTGGAAGGGAAGGAGGACAGGCACGAGGGGGGGGCGTGGGAGGAAGAGTCGGGGGCGGGGACGCGAGACCCAGCTGCTGGAGCAGGGGAGGCTCTCGCGCAGAGCCCAGGGAGCGAGGACGACATGGGAAGTCGCCCCGAACAAGTACAGCGTCAGGCTCCCAGGGCCGCGTCACCCGCTGCTGGAGATGCCTCGACCATCGACCCTCGAACCCCAAGCCTCGATCGTCGAAGCTAACTGCGGCCCTCGGCGCTCGAGAGTCGATCCTCGAGCCTCGAGCCTCGCAGGATCGAGGAGGGCGGCGGCGAGGCGCAGGGGCTGTCTCCACGGGCGCGGCGTACTGGGCCGGCTCTGTGGTGGTCATGGCAGGCGCGGGCGCCGTCATGTACACCTCCCTGCTCCGCGCGGCCCCCACCTGCCATGAAAACGCCCACGCCCACTCCCACTCTTCCTCCTCCGCCTCCTCCTCCTCTTCCTTCTCCTCCTCCGCCTCCTCACCCTCCTCCGCCTCCTGCTCCTTCCTGCTCCGCCTCTTCTTCCT